CTAACTAACTAACTAACTAACTAACTACTAACTAACTAACTAACTAACTAACTACTAACTAACTCTAACTAACTACTAACTAACTAACTAACTAACTAACTAAACTAACTAACTAACTAACTAACTACTAACTAACTACTAACTACTAACTAACTAACTAACTAACTAACTACTAACTACTAACTAACTACTACTAACTAACTAACTAACTAACTACTAACTAACTAACTAACTAACTAACTACTACTAACTAACTAACTAACTAACTAACTAACTAACTAACTACTAACTAACTAACTACTAACTAACTAACTAACTAACTAACTAACTAACTACTAACTAACTAACTAAACTAACTAACTAACTAACTACAACTAACTAACTAACTAACTAACTAACTAACTAACTACTAACTAACTAACTACTAACTAACTAACTAACTAACTAACTAACTAACTAACTAACTAACTAACTAACTAACTAACTAACTCTAACACTAACTAACTAACTAACTAACTAACTAACTAACTAACTAACTAACTAACTAAACTAACTAACTAACTAACTAACTAACTAACTAACTACTAACTAACTAACTAACTAACTAACAACTAACTAACTACTAACTAACTAACTAAACTAACTAACTAACTACTAACTAACTAACTAACTAACTAACTAACTAACTAACTAACTACTAACTAACTAACTAACTAACTGGTATTACTCTAATGTAACGGATGGATAAATTACGTGGTCATTACCTAGGACATCTTAATGTTAATTGGAGTTAATGTTAATTTACGCGCGTCTTCAGAGTGGTCTTATATTTTGCAGAGTATTCGTATTTTTGCTAAATTGCAAAGTCCACGGATTAGGACGTTTAAATCAAATGAAATAAATTTGCTGTTAGTTGTTTAAGATTCTGAATGATCTAAAAATACAGTATTTGATAGCACATTCAATTAACTAAAATAAACAAAACCACCAACCCATTTAAACAGTAAAACTGTAATGAAAACTTTACGAATAAACCGAAAAGTTCGACTGTAGTGCGGTTATTATATTTGAGTTATTTGTATTATCTGCAAAACAATCAATTATTTACATAAACATAAACAACTTGATTAGAAGTGTATTTATTTGCAAATAGTACCAATGTTTTTTGGAGAATTAAGATGTGAATGAACATGCCAAAAATAAAACGTTAGCAGGTACTTAAGTGGAACTTGTCGATCAAAGTAGAAAGTAGTTTGTTGATTTTTTTTGTTTTATTAGATTCAAAATTTTTTCTTATCACCACAGCTATAGCATAATAACACAGAATCCCATTATACTTAACTAATCAATGAACAAAATATATAATAAATATATAGTAAGTGTATATTGTATATTGATAACACGATAAGACATTAATAATAACCCATTGGGAAATTTTGTGATATTTCTGACAGAGTTCCTAAAAGATTATAGTTGTTCTTTCCTAGCCCAAATGTTTAATTAAAATGGTGGCTTATATCGGTTCAGTATCTGTCGTTAAAGACCCAGGCGTGGGACTGGTGTATCTCAAATTATTCGGAACTATCAATATTGTTAGTATAAAAATTAAATTTTCCAACAAATTTAAATGTCCACTATCTTTTAATCAGATTAAAAAAACTCATCGCCCCAGCATGGGTTAAAAACAGTGTGATTTCCTGTATTATATTTGTTGCTTTTTGAAATCACTCAAACATTAAAACAACAAAATCTTAAGTTAACAATTAAAGAATTATGAACAATATTTTTCAGTTTATTTCTTAAATCGTAACAGTAAAGGCTGAATTCCTAATCCGACAGCTAATTAAAAAGAAAAAATATATTTGAAGTGCAAGAAATATAAAAATCGAAATTAAATTTAAAGAAAAATGTCAAGTGGTCAAAACGGTGTAGATACTGCTGCTGCTACCAATGGCAAGGCTAAAGCAACAAATGTTGCCAAGCCCCCAACTAAAGAAACCAATAGTAATGGTTTTTCAATAACACCTAATCACAACACAACTGTACCCAAAGTATTCGAGGGAAATGATGAAATTTTGGATCCATTTTGTGATCCTAAACAGCCTCAGAAAATATCATTCCATGATATTACATCGGCAGCATTTCTAATTAAGGATGGTGTAGAAAGGACGCCATGTCCGGTAAGTTAAATATTCAGACCCAAATTATAATAATTATAATTTGAATAAAAACATCCATACTATTTTCTGATTTAGGTCCTAAATTTCAATTGTTTACTAATTTGTTTCCAATGTTATTTTTAGCGCTCTACTACTTCGGATTCCTATGGCATGGATTATATTTAAAAAAGATTTCTTGCAATATACTGGCAGGTAATACAAAGTTCTATATAATATCTGCTTTTATTTTTCTTTAAAATTGCGTATTATTTTATTGTTCTAATTATTTTTCTAAATTAAATATTCTTTCACGTGATTTTTATTTTAGAAAAAGTTTCAGTTTAGCTATAAGTACCGCCAGACTTTTGTTTTTATTTAATGTTTATAAACTAAAAAAACTGATAAAACGGTCCATGTATTTATTAATTATGGGTATAGTTAGTTCAATGTATGCTACAGTCTAGTGAATGTATATTATAAATACCGATAGTATTTTCTATAAAATATTCCAGTATTATGCAGATTAATTAATAGAATTATTTGCATTATCTTTACAGGTCAAAGGTTTTCTTTATTTTGTTTGCGTTTTAAAATTGAAAAGAAAATAAATTCCAAATAATTTTGTTTATTAATCAATGTTTGAACAAATATAATTTGTCAAAAGTGATATACTTAAATTAATTAATAAGTTTAATTTTAAAATTTATAGAATTGACGTATTTTGAATATAACATCTTATATAATTCCAAGATTTTTAGACTCGAAAATCGAGTGTCAGTTTACTTTATATCCGGGTCACATCTATATAAAAAAATAATATTTACTTTTTTCTAATTTTGCAAGTCCCTTCTGCGACCTAGTTTTGAGAATATATAGTATACGACATTTTCATCGGTTTACTGAGGCTTAATACAAATTGTTGGTGGGATAAGACATATTTTAAATGAAAGTTTTAATCTTTAATTTGATAGATTTGAGCTTATGTACCGTAAATGGTACAAAATGCATTTAATGGTTAATATAAATTTCTAATACGAATTTTTATGCTTGTATTTCTATTCAAGTTGTGACATTATAAATATTCAGATTTTATTAGCAAAATATTGTACGTATGTATGTCATAAATATTATCTAAAAAATACTATTTTAGTTTTTTTATCACTTAAAATTTTTCTTCAAGTGAAAGTCCATTTCAAATATTTTAGTCGATCTTATCGTTATGTATATCAATAAATAATATGACATTTTGTATAATTATTATATCGTAAAAATTAGTCTTATCACGCGATAATATTCGAAAATAGTAATGGGTGTTCTTTTTATGATTAGAAAATGTCAAGGATTTTTGTAAATTTATTTTAACATATCGGTTAGAACATAGTTAATGTTATCCTTTAAAAATTCTCATCTAGACTATAGATTCGACTCTAGACTAGATTAAAGACAAGACTGGACTATAGACTAGATTACAGACTAGACTGTAGAATTGACTAGAGTACAGCTAGACTATATACTAAACTAGACTATATGTACTGGTCTATAGACTGGACGATAGACTAGACTATATAATGAACTAGACTTAAAAATTGAATAAAATGAACTATAAACTAGACTATAGACTAGACCATAGACTAGACTATAGACTAGACTAGAGACTAGACTAGACTAGAACTAGACTATAGACTAGACTATAGACTAGACTATAGCTAGACTATAGACTAGACATAGACTAGACTATAGACTAGACTATAGACTAGACTATAGACTAGACTATAGACTAGAACTATAGACTAGACTATGACTAGACTATAGACTAAGACTATAGACTAGAACTAATAGACTAGACTATAGACTAGACTATAGACTAGACTATAGACTAGACTATAGACTAGACTATAGACTAGACTATAGACTAGACTATAGACTAGACTATAGACTAGACTATAGACTAACTATAGACGAGACTATAGACTAGACTATAGACCTAAGCTATAAGACTAAGACTATAGACTAGACTATAGACTAGACTATAGACTAGACTACTAGACTAGACGAACTATAGACTAGACTATAGACCGAAGACTAGTGACTAGAACTATAGACTAGACTATAGACTAGACTATAGACTAGACTATAGACTAGACTATAGAACTAGACTATAGACTAGACTATAGACTAGACTATAGACTAGACTATAGACTAGACTAGAGACTAGACTATAGACTAGACTATAGACTAGACTATAGACTAGACTATAGACTAGACTATAGACTAGACTATAGACTAGACTATAGACTAGACTATAGACTAGACTATAGACTAGACTATAGACTAGACTATAGACTAGACTATAGACTAGACTATAGACTAGGACTATAGACCTAGACTATAGACTAGAACTATAGACTAGACTATAGACTAGAATATATACTAGACTAGACTATAGACTAGACTATAGACTAGACTATAGACTAGACTATATACTAGACTATAGACTAGACTATAGACTAGACTATAGACTAGAATATAGACTAGACTATAGACTAGACATATGACTAGACTATAGACTAGACTATAGACTAGACTATAGACTAGACTATAGACTAGACTATAGACTAGACTATAGACTAGACTATAGACTAGACTATAGACTAGACTATAGACTAGACTAGACTATAGACTAGACTAGACTAGACTATAGACTAGACTAGACTAGACTATATACTAGACTAGACTAGACTAGACTAGACTAGACTAGACTAGACTATAGACTAGACTAGACTATAGACTAGACTAGACTATAGACTAGACTAGACTAGACTAGACTAGACTAGACTATAGACTAGACTATAGACTAGACTATAGACTAGACTATAGACTAGACTATAGACTAGACTATAGACTAGACTATAGACTAGACTATAGACTAGACTATAGACTAGACTATAGACTAGACTATAGACTAGACTATAGACTAGACTATAGACTAGACTATAGACTAGACTATAGACTAGACTATAGACTAGACTATAGACTAGACTATAGACTAGACTATAGACTAGACTATAGACTAGACTATAGACTAGACTATAGACTAGACTATAGACTAGACTATAGACTAGACTATAGACTAGACTATAGACTAGACTATAGACTAGACTATAGACTAGACTATAGACTAGACTATAGACTAGACTATAGACTAGACTATAGACTAGACTATAGACTAGACTATAGACTAGACTATAGACTAGACTATAGACTAGACTATAGACTAGACTATAGACTAGACTATAGACTAGGCTATAGACTAGGCTATAGACTAGACTATAGACTAGACTATAGACTAGACTATAGACTAGACTATAGACTAGACTATAGACTAGACTATAGACTAGACTATAGACTAGAATATAGACTAGACTAGACTATAGACTAGACTATAGACTAGACTATAGACTAGAATATATACTAGACTAGACTATAGACTAGACTATAGACTAGAATATAGACTAGACTAGACTATAGACTAGACTATAGACTAGACTATAGACTAGACTATAGACTAGACTATAGACTAGACTATAGACTAGACTATAGACTAGACTATAGACTAGACATAGACTAGACTATAGACTAGAATATAGACTAGACTAGAGACTAGACTATAGACTAGACTATAGACTAGACTATAGACTAGACTATAGACTAGACTATAGACTAGACTATAGACTAGACTATAGACTAGACTATAGACTAGACTATAGACTGACTATAGACTAGACTAGACTAGACTATAGACTAGACTATAGACTAGACTAGACTAGACGATAGACTAGACTATAGACTAGACTATAGACTAGACTAGACTATAGACTAGACTAGACTAAGACTAGACTAGACTAGACTAATAGACTAGACTAGACTAGACTAGACTAAACTAGACTATAGACTAGACTAGACTATAGACTAGACTAGACTAGACTAGACTAGACTAACTAGAACTAGACTAGACAGACGAACTAGACTAGACTAGACTAGACTAGACTAGACTATAGACTAGACTAGACTATAGACTAGACTATAGACTAGACTATAGACTAGACTATAGACTAGACTATAGACTAGACTATAGACTAGACTATAGACTAGACTATAGACTAGACTATAGACTAGACTATAGACTAGACTATAGACTAGACTATAGACTAGACTATAGACTAGACTATAGACTAGACTATAGACTAGACTATAGACTAGACTATAGACTAGACTATAGACTAGACTATAGACTAGACTATAGACTAGACTATAGACTAGACTATAGACTAGACTATAGACTAGACTATAGACTAGACTATAGACTAGACTATAGACTAGACTATAGACTAGACTATAGACTAGACTATAGACTAGACTATAGACTAGACTATAGACTAGACTATAGACTAGACTATAGACTAGACTATAGACTAGACTATAGACTAGACTATAGACTAGACTATAGACTAGACTATAGACTAGACTATAGACTAGACTATACTAGACTATAGACTAGACTATAGACTAGACTATAGACTAGACTATAGACTAGACTATAGACTAGACTATAGACTAGACTATAGACTAGACTATAGACTAGACTATAGACTAGACTATACTAGACTATAGACTAGACTATAGACTACTATAGACTAGACTATAGACTAGACTATAGACTAGACTATAGACTAGACTATAGACTAGACTATAGACTAGACTATAGACTAGACTATAGACTAGACTATAGACTAGACTATAGACTAGACTATAGTCTATAGTCTAGTCTATAGACTAGACTATAGACTAGACTATAGACTAGACTACAGACTAGACTATAGACTAGACTAATTTGGTTCGACACGAGTTATTGCTATTAAGTGATTTTTGGAAGTGGCTCTTATGTACATATATATATATATATATATATATATATATATATATATAATATATATATATATGACCAATTGTATATATATGACCAATTGTAAACAGATACGAAAAAATTCTTTGAATGATTTTTATATAAAAAACACAGTTATGTCCAAGTATGGACCGATCCGATATGTATACAAAACATATTCGTGTAAAATTTTATCACGATATCGTTATTTCATGAGTTATTTACGATTAAATGATTTTCGGAAGTGGGCTTTATGTATATGAGAGCTATAACCAATTATGGGTCAATCCGGAAATAATTTCACAGAATGATTTGTTTATGTACAAAACATATTCGAGTAGAATTTTATACCGATATCATTATTAGTTTATGAGTTATTAAAATAATCTTCGTGGTATATGGTTATTGATTATTATACATATTTGGTTATTTGATTTTTGGAATTGAACCTTATATGTGAGCTATGGTAAATTATAGACCAATCGGTCACAATTTTTCTAATTTAAAATGGATTTTATCGGTTTAAAATCCTGAATCCTAGGAACTTTATGAAATTCGAGTCACAACTGTTATTTCTTTACATTACAGTTTCAAAGAGCGAGGAGCCCGTTATGCTTTATTGTCCCTAACCGAAGAACAAAAGAAAGTGGGAGTAATTTCCGCCTCACTTGGAAACCATGCACAGGCTCTCAGTTATCATGGCTGGAAGTTGAATATACCCGTTACAGTTGTTATGCCTAAGGCAGCACCTATTATGAAAATTCAAAAATGTCGTAACTATAAAGCTAATGTGGTAGTTGAAGGCAAGGATATGGCTGAAGCTAAGGCCTGGGCCATGAAAATGTCCAAAGAAAAGGGTTTATTATATATCAACGGTTACGATCATCCTCATATAATGGCTGGTCAGGGTACCATTGGTTTGGAAATATTGGAACAAGTACCAAATCCAGATGCTGTTATAATACCCGTTGGAGGTGGTGGTTTAATTGCAGGTATAGCTACTGCTGTTAAAGCCCTGTCACCGAAAACAAAAGTTATTGTAAGTATTTGAGAGATTTATAAATAAAGATCAGTTATAATATTGTATTATTTTCAGGGCGTCGAATCTGCCAAATGTCCCAGTTTTTCAAGAGCTATGGAAAACAATGGTCCCATTCATACACCTATTAAAAATACTTTGGCTGATGGTTTGGCAGTTCCAAAAGTGGGCTACAATGCTTATGTTACCGCTGTGCCACTAATTGATAAAATGGTGGTGGTACAAGAGGAATGGATTGCTTTGGCTATTTTACGTTTGGTGGAAGAAGAAAAATGTGTGGTGGAAGGTGCTGGAGCCTCTGGTTTGGCCGCTATATTAGCTGGTCAACTACCAGAACTGCAAGGCAAAAAGTAGGTTTATTTTGGAATAACTTAAAAATTGAGATAATAACCTTATTATTTTTAGAGTTGTGATATTATTGTGTGGTGGTAATATCGATACCACTGTTTTTGGTCGTTGTCTTGAAAGAGGTTTAGCCGCTGAGGGCCGTTTGGTGAAATTTAATGTGGAAGTTACTGATAGACCTGGTGGTATTCATGAATTGTGCGAAATACTTCACTCTTTGGGTGTGTCCATTAAAGATATTATGCATGAACGTGCTTGGTTAAAGGATATTTATACTGTAGAGGTAAAAATTTCATACCTTATTATTTAATCGTTTCATAATTAATAATTGATTTTAATTTTAAGGTTAAAGTAATTTGTGAGACCCTAGACTGGGCCCATAGTATGGAATTGAAAAATAAGTTAAAGGAAATTTACTCCAAGGTACAATTTTCCGAAATACCTTTGGCTATTGATGCTCAGCTCTTCGCCCAAGGCAAAAAGTAAAGGACTAGTCCAAGTTTTAAAACAGTTATACATATTATTTATAAAAATTTTATATATTCATAAAAGTTATTTAATATTTATGTAAAAATTAGCTTTAACTATTCTTCCTCTTCATCTTCGTCATCATCATCCTCATCTTCTTTATCATCATCTGTTGATTCTATGGCTTCATGTTCCTCATAATCATCTATTTGTTTAAATTTTAATTCTTTCTTTAATAAACTCAATTGATAAGCCTCTTCCATTTCTACACTGGGATCGATGGTTTCAATAAAATCTTCTGTTTTATGTTGATATTCGTCTGCTATAGCGGTCATATGTTTCCATGACATATTACGTGATACATATTTATGACCCCATCCCAAATATATAGACTCACACAGATCTTTATAGATAAAGGTTGAGGCTCCAGGCCAGATGTTTGATTTCATTATAAGAATACGTTCATTTTGATTGGTAAATTTACTAGTAAAACGTCCGGTCCAAGCTACTGACATTTCACTGCTAACATCTCGAGAACAAGATGTTAATATGGCTGGTCCTTTTTCAGCCTGTACCTCTAACTCTTCATCTTCGCCCTCGGGTTCTTCGTCATCTTCTTCGTGCTCGCTTTCATCTTCTCCCAATTCTTCTTGTAAACGTAATTTTTCTAAACGTTTACGTTCTTTTTCTCTTTCTCTTTGTGCTTTCTCCTCATTATACCAAACGATTCGTCCTTGTTGCAATATATTCGGTCGTACATGGACCCATTTTTCGGTATTGTTTAAAGAGTTGAGTGGTATTGATGAATCATACTTTTCATTTTTCAATAAAACAATATCGTTATCTGCAATTATAAAAATAGATTAGTCTTTTCGGATGATTACTATAGTTGTTGTTGTCGGTACTTTTAAGAAAACAATAAATTAGAGGGATATGGATATAAATGGTGTGAATATATTCTAAATATTTCAGGCTCTGAGAACTTTGAGGTTGACTAAAGAATAAGAAAGTGAAATGTGCTGAAGGATAGGTTCAGCAATTTTAGTTTTATATGGGTAGAATATGGAACATAGTATTACAGACTGAGCACAACTCCGAGAAGTCGTTCTCGCTTTTGGTACCTATAAATGTTTTTCTTTCAAATCGAAATACGGATTACGTTGTCTACAAAAACGACACAATCTCAGTCTAAATTGAGAGTTCAAAACATATTCTCAAATGAGCTTGGCCTTCATGAGATTGCCTAGGGCCTGCACTATTTTCAGGTTTAAATTATTTATATTATAGATGAGTTTATCAGAACAATCCGAGAAATATATAAATCTTAACACATATTATTAATAAACATAAAGCGATTTGGTCACCAACAGACCTTGCAATAACTATTATTATGAGATCTTTTGATCGGAAAGTCGTAGAGAATCAATATTCTTAAATTTATCACATACGCGTCATATTTTTTAAAATCTCTTGTCTTTGATTTCTGTAATCCCAATATTTCTTTGTTGGAACAACATTTATTTCACCCACAGACCAAAGTGTACTTTGGCTAAATCCAAATCTGGAGTCATTTCTCCATTATATCATGTTTTTAATATGTTGGTCATAAATATATGGCCAAAAACTTATCTTAAATTTAGGACATGATATCTTGAAAATCTTGTCTGATGGAGAAATTGGCCAGATTTAACGTAGCCCCGTTCTTTAGAAACTATAATTAGATCTCAGGGGTTTGAATTATTTCAAATTTTGTTGGGCTGTGGAATAATTTCGATATCTATCCTACATACCCGGTTCTCCTTCATTTTCTTCCTCTTCATCCATTTGATTCTCTTCCTCCTCCTCTTCTTCTTCCTCGTCCTCTGCTTCATCGTCATCTACGCCCTCAAATAAACGTCTCTCCTTCTTTGTCATCTTACGATAATAATTCTTGGGAGCTATATAAGTTCCAGCCGTTATACGAGCTATTAATGCTCTTAAATAGTGTTTTTCTTTGCCACAAAAACAAGGATATGAAACGAAGTCTGCTTCTAAATCTCCCGTTAGAAATTTTTTAATTTGTCTAGAAAGTGAAATTTGTTTTGGTGTCACAATTGGCAGCTCAATCCATTCATTCGATAAAGAATTGACCACAAAATAAGAATAACGATTTAGACCTTGGCCAATAGGTTCTGGTGGAATATCAAAGACTTCTACAGCTTTCACCAAAGGTATGGGGACACCATGAGCTTTCATTTTAAATAAATCCTCCTCTGGATGGTTTTCCCAGCCCACAGCACCAGGTGTCAACTCGGGCCCAATGTGTGAAAATTGTTTTTGATACGTTAAACTTTCTTTATGGTCTTGTCGTTGATTCTCTTGAATTTCCTTATCCATTTGCAGTAAACGAGATTCATACTCTTCGTTGGATAGCGAGGCTTCAACGATATAGTACGAAGCTTTTAAGCCATTAATCACGCCCCAAAAACGACACTGCATTATAGAGGGATGGGTTTGTAAACGATTCATAGAACAGGCTAATTGAAAAATATCTTCGTTACTAATGCTGAAACCACATTGATTCCAAAAGAATTGTAAATGTTGTACTCGTTCATTGAAAGTGAGAAATTTCCCTAACGGTTCTTGCTTAAGTTCCAATTTTATATCTTCCGTTTTAGCATGTTCTTCTTCCAGATCATCTTCAGCAGCAGCCTGGATCATTGAGTCATCGGGGTAAGGCAATTTCATAGATATTAATTGTTTCTTCGCCACCTTATACATTCGTTTTTCTTCGAAAACTGCATGAGGAGGAAAACGTTCTGGCAGGTGAAACTTTTGCTCACGTACATTACGACTAAATTCTTCGAAGAAATCAATAACATTGGGTGGACGTTCATCAATGACACGTTTTATAACATCGGACAGATGATCAAATCTATTTTAAAATAGTGATTAAAGGAAGTATTTGTAAAAAGCTAAGGTACTCTTACAGATTATCGCCACTTATTGAGGAGTACTGCTGCATTATAGATTTAGCTACCGCTAATTCATAAGCAATATTTGGTGTCTTCACTGGTTGCTCTTTAGTCGGTCGATAGTCTTGTGACATCAAGCCACTCGACATTGAGGAAGAAGAACTGCTGCTGATCATATAAAGACCTGGAGGAGGTTCACATTTTCCTGGTGATTTTTGCAATGAAGGATTTTTGATGTTTTCAGCTTTCTTAGCACAGGGGTAATCTATGCCTGTTGGAATTGTACTGGATGTATTTGGTAATAGAAAATCATCACATGATATATTATTATCTATATCCATGTTGATTTTTAATTATATTTTGTTAAGAAAACTTTTTCGTTTTGATTTAAAATAAATTGTAATTTTGAAAGAAATTGTACTAGATTATGTAGAGTTATTTTGTAATAAATTTTTAGGGAAAGGGAAGTTACACCCATAAAAAGTATTTGGTTTCCAATTTCTTTTGTGGGGCATACGACTAGCATTTCGAGGTCCAACAAAAGGAATGACGAAATTGATGTTGTCCTCATCTTTTGGATATACAAATTATTATCTGAGTTGGATCAGTGAGTAAAGTCTGTGTGACTCAATATACATAAGTATATGATCAACTTAAAATAATGTTTGACTTATATAGATTTTGGCTTGTCTTCGCGGTTGTATTGGTGATGTAAATCAGAGAAAATGCAATGTCATCTTGTCGTTTTAAAATGCAAGAAGGTTTTTGTCGGTTTTGTTAGAAATTTCCATTGATCTGATTTCTTATATCTAAGTTTTTTTGCCCAGTCAGTCCGGATTATTGGGGTCTTCTGATATATTATAATATACTCGTTGTACCTTCATCATAATTTTGGGATTTATCGGACTGACATTTATACTAACCTCAGACTTTCTCATTTTGAGGAGGCTTCTCGACCTTCTCTCGTTAGGATCACCCCATAGGATCTTTGGAGATTAATTCAGATTAATTACCTCGAGCTCCCCTGCCTTTAAAGCTATTACATTCGCTCTTTCGGTGCCGACTACTGCCGAGTGAACACATTTTGTAAAGATTGTAATATAATTCATCAGAATACCTTTTATATAACTCCTGTCATGTTTCACGTACCTTCCGTATAACCCTCATGGACAAAATCAGTTAATAATATTTTGTCCAAGAAACTAAATACTCTCTTGGTCTACGAGTGATCTATTATTTCAGATTATTCGATGGTATATCGATAAAGAATAGTTTATTTCAAATCCTTTTCGATACTCATTCGATGATGAGTTTAATTACTCAGTCCCTGATTTGACAGCAGTTTTTCATATCTGCCTTTAAAGAATACACTATATGAAAATTCTGATATTATCGATATGCATGTTGTATTACTAATAATAATTTAACTGACATTTCGGCGTATGAAAACTGAAAAATAGGAGGCACTTGCATTTAGCAAAAAGTCATATGATCTATCTATGATTATTTGACAACAAAAATATATTTTTGAAATTGTAAATATTTACATTAAAAAAAATACAAGTGCAAATAACCATTTAAACAAAAATTCTCCAAACGTATGCAAAAGTTATTGAACAAAGAAAGTAAATTTGAAAAATACTGCAGCTAAATTTTCAAAATACAAAGAAAGTTATCTTACCAATAGGGGGTTTCATTAAGAACGATGTATTTTGTTGGACATTTGACTTCGCAATTCTTTCAAAGTTTGAAATTAGTTTAATAATGTTATCAAAATTCTCGTTTTGCGTTATAACTGTTATTTCTGTCTATTTGTGTGCTCGAGTCATGAGAATTCAGTCTAGAGTATTTACTTCGTTGCAGATATTTCACATTCCAAAAAATCGTTTCGTACATACATCGTTCTTAATGAAAAACCCTATAGATATGTTTGAAAATATTCCTAATAATATTTATTTATTTATTTATTTTAAATTTAATCATCGTTTAGTGCAATTATCTAACATATGATAACTAAATAAAGAGGATTAAATTTAATAAAATATTTAAACATTTGATATTTTTAGATAAGAAATTATTGTGTTAAATGCAACGTTCAGTAGTAGTATGTACTATGTATGAATATCTAATTGCAAAACAATATAATAATATTAAGTGAACATACTTTTCAAGATACTTTTATATAAATATATGTAGATGTGCTTAGAATAAAATATATGTATGTATATATCTTAAAGATACATTCTGAATGTATGCCAAACCAACAAGTTTATCATGTTAATTTACTACTTGCTAGGTAATTTATTTACATAGTAAACTTAGTTAATATAGTTTAACTTTTATTTAGCAATGTTTGTTATATTAAACAATAAACATTAATATATTGGCATTAATCTTTTTAATTTGTACAGAGTTTAAAAACTACTTAATCATACTGCTATCAGTTCTGAGTACTTTAAACTTTTATGGCGGAGTTATATTGGCCATTTCGTTTTACTTCTACTTGCCTTCAATAGACAGATATAGGGGCGGACGAATATGTCTACATCGCTACCATACCAGGGAAGCTATTAAGCGTTTGTATAGCATAAAAATACTGGTAAATCATGTAAGCAAGGTACAATTTTAAAGATATTTTGATGATTTAGGTCCATAAGTGGTTCTCGACCCAAGGACAAAGCCTACTGAAAATGGTTAAAACTGTTCAATTATTTTACCTAGACCCCATAGTTCATAACTAAGGCAAGAATACTAGGTTCTATTCAAAAATCGGAATAACTAAGTTTTATATGACCCTAGCTCCCATATAAACTCCACATTGGAAATTAACCAAAAGGGGCATAATTGACTTATAACTATTAGTATCGAGATGGAAGTTAGTATAACTAAATCTTCTATTAAATAAATCCCTTTACCAGATTATATGAGAATCAGATCCTATTTCACCCTAACTTCGATATAAATCTTCTTTTAGAAAGTTAGTTTTTCAGCATTAAATTGCCTTAATAAAAATTATGAAATTTCCAAAATCTCGTAAAATTCCTGACCTCCGAAGATCCCGGGTTCCCGATTGCAATTTGAAAAATCCTTAGTCCCGGGATTTGTGGGTTTAACTCGTTTCTTGAAATCTTCTTAAAAGTACTTTGGAATCACAACAATGTTTCACAGAAGGGCTTCCAGTAGTAATGGGGATAGCACTAGTTGTTGTAGTTGTTTAGAACAAATTCTCAAATTTTTTTAAAGAAATCCTACAAAGAATCAATTCTTGTATGTTTCTTTATGTTTTTGTTTTTAAATGGGATCAGCTTATCAAATTTCGTTGTGTTAAGATTTGTTTATATGTATTTTCGATTATTTTTTATCTCTTATTTTGTTTTTATTACTATTATTTTTTGGACTACAAAAACAAGCAACAAATAATAATGTTTACACTCTTTTTTATACCCTACACCACTATAGTGGAGGAAGAGCATTATGCGTTTGTATTGATGTTTGTAATGTCCACCTTAAGTTATACTAATGTCTGTCCAACTGGCTTTGTACTGACCCTAGACTCTAAAGAAATAATCCTTAAGAACCATATAAGTCATTCAGAAATCAGTTTTTTTTGTCAATAAATCGATAAAAAATAACGAGGCTTTATCGTAAAATTTCAACAGTTGTAGGGTATCATATGGTGGACCATGCTCGATTATTCTTTCTTTCTTACTTGTTGATTTTTATTTGCTTGGTGCACGTATACTCACCCACAATTTAACTCCATATACCAGATTCCAGAATTGATATTCATCAGTTGAGTTTCAGTATATAACGAACATTTAACAAGTGCAGTTGAAGTCGCGGAAAGTAAAGTTCTAATTTAACTACAGCTTTGTTATTATATTTTTACTTATTTAATTAAACAAATATTTGCTAACAAAAAATGCCAATTGTTCAAACCGGTGAGTTATAAACAAAATAAAATTATAGCGATTTAAAAAGAAATTAATTAATACAATAATATTAAACGAATCGTATGTTTAGCAACGAGTAAAATTCGCTGTAATTTCAAAATCGAATCGAAACTATAGACTAGGCTATAGACTAGACTATAGACTAGACTATAGACTAGACTATAGACTAGACTATAGACTAGACTATAGACTAATAGACTAGACTATAGACTAGACTATAGACTAGACTATAGACTAGACTATAGACTAGACTATAGACTAGACTATAGACTAGACTATAGACTAGACTATAGACTAGACTATAGACTAGACTATAGACTAGACTATAGACTAGACTATAGACTAGACTAGACTAGACTAGACTAGACTATAGACTAGACTATAGACTAGACTATAGACTAGACTATAGACTAGACTATAGACTAGACTATAGACTAGACTATAGACTAGACTATAGACTAGACTATAGACTAGACTATAGACTAGACTATAGACTAGACTACGGACTAGACCATAGATTAGACTAAAGACTAGCCTATAGACTAGACAATATACTATACTATAGACTAGACTTAAGACTATACTATGGACTATAGACAGCACTAGAGACTAGACAATAGACTATCGAAATTTCGATTCGATAATTTCTTTCATTATTCGAATATATCGTTAAAGCCGTAAATTTATTATTGATCGTACTCAGTATCAAGTTCTTGATCGATGGCTACAGATATGAACAACGCTCTACGTTTCCCAAATGGGGTCCGTGGACGGCAAGGCATCCGCAAAAGTATAACAAAAATTAACACTATTCAGCATTTATAAATATTAAAAATTAATAATAATTTCATAAAAGTTAACTGTCCTGCAAAAATTGAGCGTGCAAAAAGGTAAAGGATTGGTCCAAAACTAATCCAAATATATGGAAAAAGCTAACTCCAGTTAACATTGTGATGTTCTAGGTGAGGACCATGTAATACAAATATGCATTACATCAGAGTAATGCCAAAACTACTCCCTTGCTAAAATTACGGGAGTACATGATCCGTATCATGGTCCTTTGTTTACAGGCAATGGATCATGTTGTTTACAAAAAATTAACATGATCCATGGCTAGATCCATACATAGAACTACTTAACGGATCATGTACTCCAATAATGCTAAATAATCGGAATTACCAGAGTGTTTAGTTAAGGGATAAACAGGTATTTCAATAATATCCCAGCAAAAAAAGACGTGCAAAAAAAGTAGTAAATGCATGGGTTGAACTGATAATGAACTGGTTCATATTTAGGGGAAACATGCATGATTTTAACATTAGCGTGTCATTGGCATGCATGTGTTCGTATTTGGAAAAATAGTTCGTCATTTAAATGAGTTCTTATAACCAATGAATATTCGATGATTCTCAAGCGAATTTTCATTAGTGCACTATATTTATTTAAAAATGCATTAATAATGGTATTTCGATTTAGTTATCAATATTTAAATTTTTTTTGCGTGATATTGATAAAAATAAAATAAGATAAAACATAACTGATTTTTATTGGATTTAAATTCATGCAGAGGAAAAATACCCATTGTGTTTTAAAATCCGTTAAGCAGTCTCGTTTTTTTCCTTCTCTTATTAATGTTAAAATGGACTTAATATTACTAGGTAGGTAGGTACCTACAAAAACAAAAATCTAATAAAAAATTAATGTCATTTTTAATATTTATTGTATGAAATGCACGTTTTCGTTAAATCTCCTAAGAGAATACCAAATTATAGTAAAATATTACAATTCCTATAGTGGAGTTACATGAGTGAATTTGGGTGCATTTTTCATGCCTTCACTGATGACAAATTTATTAGAATTTAGGCATGTATTTAAAACGCATTAAATAGAATACGTACAAAAGAAATCATGAAAATATCCCTTCTTCTTTAACAACTTCAAATTTTTTTTGCTGGAATATTATGCAAGCAACTAACAACAAGCCAATAGGAGTACATATATATATATATATATATATATATATATATATATATATATATATATATATATATATATATTGGGGGTCCGCGTATAGTCTAGTCTCTAGTCTAGTCTATAGTCTAGTCTATAGTCTAGTCTATAGTCTAGTCTATAGTCTAGTCTATAGTCTAGTCTATAGTCTAGTCTATAGTCTAGTCTGTAGTCTAGTCTATAGTCTAGTCTATAGTCTAGTCTATAGTCTAGTCTATAGTGTCTATTCTGTAGTCCAGTATATATTTTAGCTTATGGTCTAGTCCAAAAACCAGTCCAAAATATAGTCAGTAATATACTATGTAGTCTAGTCTATAGTCTAGTTTGTAGTCCAGTTTATAGTCAAATATTCGGAATAACGATCATACAATTACAAAAAGCATCAAATAATATAAAGAGTAGTAAAATGTATCACTAGTACTCACTACCACTTCACACAGACCCCTTGAAAGTAATAAATCATTTGTTTAATCATTTTTTAGATAAAATATTAAGATCTGACAACAGATACAATTTGCTCCCCTCATTATTTTCCACTAATTAAATAAATTGCGATTTAAATACGTTCACTATCTTACAATGTTTATCATATTTTTCAATCCATTTTAATCTTTTGTTTTCTTTTTTGTTCTTAACAGTTTTGGGTGCAATTGACCCCAATCTTTTGGGCCGTACTCTTACTCACGAACATATTGCACTCGATTTCGAACACTTTCATTGTGATCCACCGGAGGATTTTAAGCCATTTTTGAATAAGAAAATATGTATGGAAAATTTGGGCTATGTACGTCAATATCCTTATTCTTCCATGGACAATGTACGTTTCTACGATGAAGATTCGCGTAATGCTGCTCTCAAGGATATTGAATTGTATAAGAAGTTTGGTGGTGGCACTATAGTAGAAAATAGTTCTCATGGTCTTAAAAGAAATATGGAGTTTATGGTAGAGGCTGCCAAGAAAACTGGTGTACATATTGTGGCTGGTACTGGGCATTATGTACATGATTTGCAGGAACCCGATCATCTTAAGATGACTGTGGAACAAATGACTGATTTGTATTCTAAGGAAATTATTACTGGCATTGAGGTAGAAGGTGTGGGCATGGTGAAATGTGGTTTCATAGGTGAAGTTGGTAGTGTTTATCCCATACATGGTGAGCTATAAATATCAAATATTTTAAGAAAGTATGAAGTTAAACATTCATTTTATATGATCATGTACAAGATTTTGAGAAACGTGCTATTAAGGCTACGGGCGAAATCCAGGAAGTTTTAGGCTGTGGTGTTTCCTTCCATCCGGGTCGTGATGCTCAAGCTCCCTTTGAAATTATGCGTTTGTATTTGGAAGCCGGCGGCAAAGCAAATAAGTGCGTTATGTCTCATTTGGATCGTACCATTTACGATATCGATCAATTGTTGGAATTCTCGAAATTGGGCTGTTATCTACAGTACGATCTCTTTGGCACTGAATGTTCATTGTATCAACTTAATATCAATGTTGATATGCCCTCGGATGCTCAACGTATTAATAATCTTATGAAACTTATTGACGAAGGTTTAGTTGATCGTATTCTTATGTCCCACGATATTCACACTAAACATCGTTTGGTAAGTATTTTTGTTATTCGTAATTTTTTGTTGTTTTAATGATTTAATTGTTTTTAGACATCGTATGGTGGTCATGGTTATCATCATGTTCATATGAATGTTTTGCCTCGCATGTTCGCCAAAGGCTTATCTGTGGAACAAGTTGAACAAATGACTGTCGTCAATCCCGCCAAATGGTTAGAGTTTAATATTTAAATTGTATTTTTTATGTATTCGTGTTGTTTATTATTTTGTTTTTACTTCGTATTAATTATTTTCTCATTGTTTTTAATGAAATTTTTACATTAAAATAATTATGTAAATATATTATTAATAAATTGTTATGTCTTCATATAATTGAAAATGTTTTAACTTAATATTAATCTGATCCAATGACTTGAAGAAAATATTGTCACTTTTGTTATCTTCGAAGACCGTTGCACAGCAAGTAAATTACATAATCTCCAATAATTTATTAAGGAGTTTTAAACAACCAAAATTATTAAAAAGAATTGTCACATATTCTAAGATAAATATAGAACTGGTATAACCGACTTTAACTTCTTTTTGAGTGAAATAATTTCTTGATTTTATAGTTTCTGGTGAAATCTTTCTGGGTGTTTAAAGTAAGAAGTAAAACGGAGGTGTTTTCAGCGTTTGTTTCTTAACTATGCTAACAACTGAGGATACTTATATAAAAGAGATCAAAACGATTTCGAATGGTATTTCAAAAAATTCTAATTATATAATTGTTTAAAACTACTGGATGATGGTAAGTATACCAGACCATTTAAAAGAGAAACGAAATATATCTCGTGTAGAGTCCTCTAATCTCTTTAGCATTTCTGACACAATATTTTCCGGTGTTAATATAGCTCCAATATATAAGTTTAAGGTTAGTCTTCTTTCGGCCCATTTTGAACAGTGAATGTTCGACGTTATCATCAGCTGCCCTACAATCATCGCAGTAGGAATTTTCCTTAATCTTGAATCGCATCAAGTATAAGTGAAAGTTATCATGTCCGGTCATCATTTATGTTATGTAATAGTACCGTGTTTTCGGTTAATCCAGTTTCTGATATCTGGTATTAACCCATGAGTCCACCCACCTTTTTCATCACAATCCCATCTTTCTTGCCATTTTCGGATTAGAATATCTCTGGCTTCTTTTTTACATCTCCAATTATCTGGGTGTTAAATTCACGGTCCATATTTCTTCTCGCTCTAGTAAAAGAAGAGCAAGGGGGGAAGACCGGAGAAAACGAGAGCGGGCTGGGGGAAACGGGGCGAGAACGCGAGGGCACGGAGGGGGGGGGGAGACCGAGCGAGGGAGGGAGGGAGGCGAGCGAGCGAGCGCGGGAGGGAGCGAGCGAGCGAGCGAGCGAGCGAGCGAGCGAGCGAGCGAGCGAGCGTAGGAGCGAGCGAGCGAGCGAGCGAGCGAGCGAGCGATGCGAGCGAGCGAGCGAGCGAGCGAGCGAGCGAGCGAGCGAGCGAGCGAGCGACCGAGCGACCGAGCGAGCGAGCGAGCGAGCGAGCGAGCGAGCGAGCGAGCGAGCGAGCGAGAGCGAGCGAGCGAGCGAGCGAGCGAGCGAGCGGAGCGAGCGAGCGAGCGAGCGAGCGAGCGAGCGAGCGAGCAGCGAGCGAGCGAGCGAGCGAGGAGCGAGCGAGCGCGAGGAGCGGCGAGCGAGCGAACGAGCGAGCGAGCGAGAGAGCGAGCGAGCGAGCGAGCGAGCGAGCGAGCGAGCGAGCGAGCGAGCGAGCGAGCGAGCGAGCGAGCGAGCGAGCGAAGCGAGCGAGCGAGCGAGCGAGCGAGCGAGCGAGAGAGCGAGCGAGCGCGAGCGAGCGAGCGAGCGAGCGAGCGAGCGAGCGAGCGAGCGAGCGAGCGAGCGAGCGAGAGCGAGCGAGCGAGCGAGCGAGCGAGCGAGCGAGCGAGGAGCGAGCGAGCGAGCGAGCAGCGAGCGAGCGAGCGAGCGAGCGAGCGAGCTAGCGAGCGAGCGAGAGCGAGCGAGCGAGCTATCTATCTATCTATCTATCTATCTATCTATCTATCTATCTATCTATCTATCTATCTATCTATCTACCTATCTATCTAGAATTTTATTATAATATTCTTAGGCGATAAATTGCGGAGCATTTATGCAAATAAATAAAATAAAATTGCTCCATATTTATATTCATATATTTCAAAATTTTATTGTATATATACTTGATTTTTATATTTCTTGTAATATTTATAGCATTTTAACTTAAAAATAAAATATAATTTGTAATTATTACTTAATAATCGATTTTTGAAACATAAATTTTATACAACAAATTAAAGCGATTAAAAACTATTTAATATATTAATTTATACAACTAAAACAAACGATTTTTTTAATTTTGAATTTAAAATCAAAAATTAAAGTTAAATATCTAAGATGTATTATGCATGTAAAAATTCGTCTTACAGAGAGACACTTTAATAAATTTCTGATCTATAAAGTGTCAAAATTGAATAATAATTCATAAGGAAATCAATGTACAATAAAAAACAAAAACTAAATAAATAACAAAACGAAAAAGATAATAAAATATAAAACTAAATAAAAAAGAAATAAATTTGTTGCAAAACTCTTACGTTTTTTGTTTTTGTTAAAGTTTTTTTTTTCAATAGTTTTGGCACATTATAATGATATAGATTAAAGAGACAACTTTTTAAGAAACTGAAACATTTCCAAATTGCTTCTCTTTAATTAGCTTGATTTTGAGTAAAATGCTCTTACGTAGTATATAAAAATGTGTTTAAAAAAATATTTATTTGATCGTTTCGAAAAAGCGACTGTTTTTTTCAAAAATATTTTTTCGTTGCAATATGACATAAATTTTATGATCTTTTATACATTATTTTTTTATATATATATTTTTGCTCAGTTTTACTTGGTATCACCTTAAGTATGTATTTATGCTAAAAAAACTAAAATGTAGGCTTTAATGTTAATAAATAATAAATGTTAGGCATAAAATAATTATTTTTTGTGGTTGTAATGTTTAGGCTGTAGTTGAAGTTGTGATTGAGGATTGGTAGGGGTATGTTAGGTTATGTGATTATGATGAGTGTAATAATAATAATTTTAATGACTATTATCTAAACGTAAAATCAGTGCATCGACGACATTATAAATTTCATCGAAATGTGGACGAGATTCAGCTTCGGCAGTCCAGCATTTTAACATTAAACGATACATTTCGGGAGGAGTATTGCAAGGAGCTGGCATGCGATAACCTTTAGAATAAAGAAAATTTTAAATCTTGTAAAGTTTTTGGCTCAAATTTGAAACTTACCTGCATCAATTTTTTCTCTAGCCTTAGAATTTGTCATTCCCGAGTAGGGTGTATCACCTCTGGAAAATATTTCCCACATTAAGATGCCATAAGACCAGACATCACACAGTGATGTATATTTGCCAAAGTTTAAGGCTTCTGGTGCTGTCCATTTGACGGGAATTTGTTTCATACCATCCGATACTAAATGTAAATTAAGTATTTTATTATTTATATGTTTTAAAGGGTTTAAAGGGTTATAATTTAGTTATTTACCTATATATTCCTCTTCTTCACGTGACATGCCAAAATCTGATATTTTAACTGAACTTTCTAGATCGACCAAACAGTTGCGTGCTGCTAAATCGCGATGTATGCAATTTTTAGATTCCAAATAACGCATTCCTGTAATTTTAGAAATAATTGAATTAATAAAAATAAACCTATAGCCTAGTCTATAGTCTATTCTATAGTCTAGTCTATAGTCTAGTCTATAGTCTATTCTATAGTCTAGTCTATAGTCTAGTCTATAGTCTCGTCTATAGTCTCGTCTATAGTCTAGTCTAGAGTCTAGTCAATAGTCTGGTCTATAGTCTAGTGTATAGTCTAGTCGATTGTATAGTCTATAGTCTAATCTACAGTCCAGTCTATAGTCGAGTCTATAGTCTAGTCTATAGTCTAGTCTATAGTCTAGTCTATAGTCTAGTCTATAGTCTAGTCTATAGTCTAGTCTATAGTCTAGTCTAGTCTAGTCTATAGTCTAGTCTATAGTCTAGTCTATAGTCTAGTCTATAGTCTAGTCTATAGTCTAGTCTATAGTCTAGTCTATAGTCTAGTCTATAGTCTAGTCTATAGTCTAGTCGATAGTCTAGTCTATAGTCCAGTCTATAGTCTAGTCTATAGTCTAGTCTAGTCTATAGTCTAGTCTATAGTCTAGTCGATAGTCTAGTCTATAGTCTAGTCGATAGTCTAGTCTATAGTCTAGTCTATAGTCTAGTCTATAGTCTAGTCTATAGTCTAGTCTGTAGTCTAGTCTATAGTCTAGTCTAGTCTATAGTCTAGTCTATAGTCTAGTCTATAGTCTAGTCTATAGTCTAGTCTATAGTCTAGTCTATAGTCTAGTCTATAGTCTAGTCTATAGTCTAGTCTATAGTCTAGTCTATAGTCTAGTCGATAGTCTAGTCTATAGTCTAGTCTAGTCTATAGTCTAGTCTATAGTCTAGTCTAGTCTATAGTCTAGTCTAGTCTATAGTCTAGTCTAGTCTATAGTCTAGTCTATAGTCTAGTCTATAGTCTAGTCTATAGTCTAGTCTACAGTCTAGTCTATAGTCTAGTCTATAGTCTAGTCTATAGTCTAGTCTATAGTCTAGTCGATAGTCTCTAGTCTATAGTCTAGTCGATAGTCTAGTCTATAGTCTAGTCTATAGTCTAGTCTATAGTCTAGTCTTAGTCTAGTCTGATCGTCTAGTCTATAGTTAGTCTAGTCTATAGCTAGTCTATGTCTAGTCTATAGTCTAGTCTATAGTCTAGTCTATAGTCTAGTATAGTCTAGTAGTCTATAGTCTAGTCTATAGTATAGTCTATAGTCTAGTCTATAGTCTAGTCTATAGTCTAGTCTATAGTCTAGTCTATAGTCTAGTCTATAGTCTAGTCTATAGTCTAGTCTATAGTCTAGTCTATAGTCTAGTCTATAGTCTAGTCTATAGTCTAGTCTATAGTCTATCGATAGGTCTAGTCTATAGTCTTAGTCGATAGTCTAGTCTATAGTCTAGTCTATAGTCTAGTCTATAGTCTAGTCTATAGTCTAGTCTCTAGTCTAGTCTAGTCTATAGTCTAGTCTATAGTCTAGTCTAGTCTATAGTCTAGTCTATAGTCTAGTCTATAGTCTAGTCTATAGTCTAGTCTATAGTCTAGTCTATAGTCTAGTCTATAGTCTAGTCTATAGTCTAGTCTATAGTCTAGTCTATAGTCTAGTCTATAGTCTAGTCTATAGTCTAGTCTATAGTCTAGTCTATAGTCTAGTCTATAGTCTAGTCGATAGTCTAGTCTATAGTCTAGTCGATAGTCTAGTCTATAGTCTAGTCTATAGTCTAGTCTATAGTCTAGTCTATAGTCTAGTCTAGTCTATAGTCTAGTCTATAGTCTAGTCTATAGTCTAGTCTAGTCTAGTCTAGTCTATAGTCTAGTCTAGTCTAGTCTAGTCTAGTCTAGTCTAGTCTATAGTCTAGTCTAGTCTAGTCTATAGTCTAGTCTAGTCTATAGTCTAGTCTATAGTCTAGTCTATAGTCTAGTCTATAGTCTAGTCTATAGTCTAGTGTATAGTCTAGTATATAGTCTAGTCTATAGTCTAGTCTATAATCTAGTCTAGTCTATAGTCTAGTCTATAATCTAGTCTAGTCTATAGTCTAGTCTATAGTCTAGTCTATAGTCTAGTCTATAGTCTAGTCTATAGTCTAGTCTATAGTCTAGTCTATAGTCTAGTCTATAGTCTAGTCTATAGTCTAGTCTATAGTCTAGTCGATAGTCCAGTCTATAGTCTAGTCTATAGTCTAGTCTATAGTCTAGTCTATAGTCTAGTCTATAGTCTAGTCTAGTCTATAGTCTAGTCTAGTCTATAGTCTAGTCTAGTCTAGTCTAGTCTAGTCTAGTCTAGTCTAGTCTAGTCTAGTCTATAGTCTAGTCTAGTCTATAGTCTAGTCTATAGTCTAGTCTATAGTCTAGTCTATAGACTAGTATATAGTCTAGTCTATAGTCTAGTCTATAATCTAGTCTAGTCTATAGTCTAGTCTATAATCTAGTCTAGTCTATAGTCTAGTCTATAGTCTAGTCTATAGTCTAGTATATAGTCTAGTCTATAGTCTAGTCTATAATCTAGTCTAGTCTATAGTCTAGTCTATAATCTAGTCTAGTCTATAGTCTAGTCTATAATCTAGTCTAGTCTATAGTCTAGTCTATAGTCTAGTCTATAGTCTAGTCTATAGTCTAGTCTATAGTCTAGTCTATAGTCTAGTCTATAGTCTAGTCTATAGTCTAGTCTATAGTCTAGTCTATAGTCTAGTCTATAGTCTAGTCTATAGTCTAGTCTATAGTCTAGTCTATAGTCTAGTCTATAGTCTAGTCGATAGTCAAGTCTATAGTCTAGTCGAAGTCTAGTTTATAGTCTATTCTATAGTCTGTTTCATAGTTCAGTCTATAGTGAAGTCTACAGTCTATTCTAGTCTATTGTGTAGTGTATAGTCTATTCTAGTCTATAGTTTAGTTCTGTCTAGTCTAATCTATAAACTAATCTATAGACTAGACTATAGTCTTGTCTATAGTGTAGTCGATAGCCTAGTGTATAGTCTAGTCCAAGATAGCCAATTTTAGATGGATTATGTAACAATAATTGTATTAACTTACCGGCAGCTGCATCACGACACATGCCCATTTGTTGGCGTGTGGTTAAATTGTTTGAATTTTTACGCAAGTAATTTAATAAAGAACCACCTTAAACAAGTTAAAAAGAACATTAGAAACCTATATATAAAGTCTATAATAACAACACCAACCTGGTACCAATTCCATAACAATCATAATGGGCTGCTTTTGAACACAAATACCAATTAATTTAACAATATTAGGATGATCGTATTGTTTTAAAATGCGACCTTCCTGTAAGAATTTACGTTTCTGTTCATCGGGTAAAGTCATACGACAAGTTTTGACTGCAACATCCAAATTGGTGGATTTTAATTTTGCCTTATAAACATCACCAAAGTTACCCTGGAAAAAAACAACAAAAATAGAATTATATTTTTTAATTATTACTATAAAGAAAATTGTCTCACTTACCCTGCCAATCTTTTCCAATAACACTACATCATCATTACTTAATTCCCAAATTTCTCGACATATGGGCCTTCTCAATATGGCTCCCGATTTAACGGTTACTGGCAATTCCGATTGATATTGATGTAAAATCAATTCTTGTATACTGGGAAAAGGTGGCCCTTCGAAACGAAAATGTCCATCAACTGTAGTTTGGACTATAAAATGTTTATGACCATTCCAGCAGACACTCAATACAATTTGACTTTCTTCATTGCGTATTGTTTCGCGTACCAAGAAATCACCTTCATTATTAAGTAAACGTACGACTTCTTCTCTTGGTAATACACCATGGAACCATTCTTCTTCGTATAAGGGGCGATTAGTGGATGTAGATAACTGTCGAAATAGAATTACACAAAAGCGAATTAGTTAATTGAGAGGCTTATTAAAGTCAATTTCATTAGTTGGAACAAATTAAAAAAAAACTGTACATTAAAAATTAATATAAAAATTAAAAATAAAAACAATATTAAAATAATTTTCTAATTTAATTAAAAGCAAAAACATCATCATGCGAAAAGTAAATTTTAATTCAGTAACAAAAAAAGTTATATTTTTTATGAAATTTTCAGTAAAATTTTCTCTAGCAATTATCAAAAATTTAAAAAAAGGGAGAAAACATGAAATTTAGTTTCATTAAAAATCATTGAACATATTGCTAAACAAAGTGAAGATACCTCGAAGGTTAAAGAAGATATGTCAGATGTTAAGCATTTATTTTAAAGTTGACGGAATGGACTTTCAGATGACATACAACATTTTATAAATAAAGTTGTCTTGGCGCTGTTATAACGTCTCAAAAAGGGCTAAAAACGACGTTTCTAACCATATTTACAATAACCATAATATGTTTAGACTACAATCAAAAAACTAACCATAATATGTTGCTCCTAAATCATGGCTATAACAACCATGTTTTTTCTGCCTGTACATAGACTAGTCAACATATTAGTCGATAGGTTAGCCAACAGATAATTCCATAGAATAGTCCGTAGACTAGACAACAGACTAGACGATGGACCAGTCAATAGAATGTTCCATAGATTAGTGAATATATAGCCAATAAACTAGTCCATAGACTAGTAAATGTACTAGTTAATAGAATAGTTTATAGACTATTCTATAGACTATAGGACTAGTTTATAGAATAGTGAAAGTGAACGAAGATATGTGATAGTGAAATAGTGAAAGAAGATATGTCAGATGTTAAGCCTTTATTTCAAAGTTGACAGAATCGAATTTCAGATGACATACTACAATAAAGTTGTCTTGGCGCTGTTATAACGTCTCAAAAAGGGCTAAAGCCCTTTTTTAATATTTACAATAACCATAATATGTTTAGACTATAAAAATCTAACCATAGTATGTTGCTCCTAAATCATGGTTAAAACAACCATGTTTTTCTGCCTGTACATAGACTAGTCAACATATTAGTCAATATGTTAGCCAACAGATAAGTCCAGCGAATTGTCCGTAGACCAATTAATTGACTAGTCCATACTCTAGCCAACAGATTAGTTCGTAGACTAGAAAACAGACTAGTTGATGGCCTAGTCAATATAATGTTCCATAGATTAGTGAATATATAGCCAATAAACTAGTCCATGGACTAGTAAATGTACTAGTTAATAGAATAATTTATATACTATTATGTAGACTACACCTATAATATAGTCAATGGACTAGCTTATAGAATAGTTAAAAGACTAATCCATTGACTAGTTAATAGAATAGTCCATAGACTTGTCAATAAACCAAATCAATAGCATATTCAATAAAGACGGCTATACACAGAGGGAAAAAGACGTTTTTAAATTATACACGCCTGGTTTCAAATTGACACCAAAGTGTTTATAATTTTTCAATAACATGTCAAAGTATGTACGGATATTGTCAAACCAACAAAAAAACAAGTAAGAGTGTTATATTCGGCTGTGCCGAATCACATATACCCACCATCAAACCGTATGCCATAAAAGGAATGCTCCCCTAACACCACGATCATTCATAAAATTAACTAATTGTTTCTCATAAAATTTTTTAGACCGATGTTGGTTCATATAAACATGTTTACATCGAATAGCACGCTGTACTCGCATTTTTAAGTCAGTAATTAACGCTAAAGTAATTTTCTCGAGGCAGGCTTATATGGGCGGTTAGGGTAAGTTACCGATACTTTCCGCAGGAAATTCGATAGGAAGATTTAAGTTTCTATAAAAGTTTTTTACATCAAATTTCATAACTGTACACGTATTTTTAAGCCAGAAATGATCGTAATAAGTAATTTTCTGAAGGGGACCTTTAATGGGGGTAGGGTCAATTATGGACCGATCCGCACCAAATTTGGTAGAGAGATTTTAACTCGTATAAAACCTATGTGTATCGAATTTCATCGCTTTACTCGTATTTTTAAGCCAATAATGAATTTTAATGTAATTTTCTGAAGGGAAGCTTATACAGGGACCAATCATACGCGGATTACTACTTATGTCGGATTTCCTCTCAATACTCGTACTTTTAATACAGTAATGAGCGTTAGAGTAATTTTGTCAAATTTCGTCGCTATACTCGTATTTTTAAGCCAGTAATGAGCGTTAAAGTCATTTTCTGATGGCGATCTTATATGGGGGGTAGGGCGAATTATGGACCGATCAACATAAAATGTGGTAGAGAGATTTTTGATAGTAAGACACTTACTTGTGTCAAATTTCATCGCTATACTTGTATTTTGAATACAGTAATGAGCATTAAAGTCGCTTTCTGAAGGGACCTTTAATGGGGGTAGGGTCAATTATGGACCGATCCACATAAAATTCGGTGGAGAGATTTTTGCTTGAAAGTAACTTACTTATGTCAAATTTCATCGCTATACTGGTATTTTTAAGCCAGTAATGAGAGTTAAAGTAATTTTATGGAGGGGATCTTAATTGGGGTAGGGTCAATTATGGACCGATCCACATAAC